ACGGAATTTTAAATGAAAAGAATTCACTTGGATATGCTTATTGAAAAGAGTCGGAATTCATTGGAATTTAAATTAATTAATCGTGTCACAATGATTTTTAATTAACGACTTTTCGTCAGTGTAAAGAACTTTCTTGAGTTTGTCAGTCATTTTAATGACATCACTTATCAATTTAATTGCGCTTACAGGCTAGCCGTCTACAATCGCATTATCTGAAATATACTTGCTAAACGAGGAACTGAATCATTAACAATGTTTTTATGAATAATAGAAAGATAAGATTGTAATGGTGCATGGAGCTTCTGAAGTTTCTAGCGAGATGTGTTATATGTGCTGCTACGCTTTTACAACTTATTGTGAGGACAAAGTACTCTGGTGATGGAATCCATAGAAATCTAATAAAACCGGGTGAATTGGTTCCACACGATTTTCCAACAAAGTGAAAATACCAAACAAGACGAGAAGAAAATAAATAAATATCGATCCGTCGGTTTCTCACCGATCGGGCTAGTTTCCACGGATTCCCTCCACCCATTTTTAATGACCTTAATTAACTTTTATTGACATTTCCATCACTGGAATTTTATTTTGTCAAGTGAAATTATACGATAATTAGGCAGCATTGTCAATCGTCAGTGCTCTAGCTTTAATTGAAATTTATTGTATTGGCAGAAGTGTATGTGTATGTCATTTTATTTTTTTAGAATTTGGATCAATGACGTTGGAATCATGCTGAAGTCGTTTTTTTTTATCGCTTAAAGCGTTCGATGTGAACAATAACCACTCAATCCCTGCCCTTTGGCACTCGACCCCATCGCGGGTGCTGTTTAATCAATAGAATTATTTAATCTCAAATCACTCGACGAGATAGTGTAGAAATAGTGAATTTGACGTTTTCAAAAATACCTACTTACCTCGAAGATATCTTACTAAATTCTTTGAGTTCAAAAATAGTGTTTTGCCAGTCCAGGATTTAACTCGTGAAACCATGGAATTCAACCGAGTTTAGTTCAGTTACGAGTTGGAGATTGTTCCGAAGAATTAACATTCAAGATTGTTTGTTTCGTTGTAATTTCAGCAACTACGTACTTGGATCCAGCCAATTTAACGGATTCAAGACAGTGTTTGAGGGACGCTGGATCAAGCCCTCAAACACCAATCACAGGGAATCATCTGGATGTGCCACGCTCAATGGATACTAATCCAAATTTACTGAGTCCAGAGATATTAATGCAAAGACGAGGTTCGAAGAACGTACAAACCCCTAAATAAGATTGACCAATTACTGTTGAATTTCGGGATTATTTATAATCCCACGATCCGATAATTATAAATTATAATAAGCCCACGCAATTATCAAGAAGTATTAAATTTTATGATTAACTCTAACTGGATCAACAGACGAGAGACAAAGATCAATCAATTGGTGAAGAATTCGAAGACGTCAGTCAGAAAAATTTTCTGTTTCTAGGCAGCAGAAGACCTAGTATACTTCCGGTTCCGGATATGCTGACGAGTTCAACCTTACATCTACCTGGTCAGGAGTCCTTGGATCATGAAGCAGATGAGTCCGAGGACGAGATGGATGACGATGTGCCCTGGAGATCGCCCAGTGAAAAAATTGCGTAAGTCTTTTTGATCTCTTATCCTATCTGTATGTTTATCTCTGTCTCTTTCTCTACCCTCTCTCGAATTTTCCTATCCGTTTTAATTGGTGAATCTTCGAGAGCATAGAGCACTGAATGTTTAATTTTGCAACCCTTTAATATTTTGCACTATCAAATTTTCCCCTTTCGAAGTGTGAAAAGTGAATTTTTTTTTATTCAATTTATTTTTATTGCGACAATTGTTTCTGGGGTGAGGGGTAAAATTTAGTTGACAGGTAATAAAAGCACAATTATTTAGTGAGAGAATGGTTAATTAGATAACAAAAATCCAGAAATTTAAATAAACGTTGAAATTGATTTTCCATCGTAACAATACGTGATGAATTTTTATTTTTCATGTCATTTTTCCCAAGATATCGTAAACAATTTTATAGATTCCAGAAACTTCTTTACAATGCCATATCTCCTTTTTTATTTTACTCTCAAGAAATAAAAAATTGTCTGTAGTATTTTTAGTCGTGAAAATTCTAGTCCACAAATATAGCGATAAAGTCTCGAAATTTTCTAGTGTTATTCCTAGAAATGATGGATTGCTAATTATCATCAAAGTAAATGAATTTAATATCTGCATATTTAATTAATGGATTGAGAGATATGTTTTGAAAAAATAAGTGACGGTTAATGTTTGTCCTAATTAAATGTCTATCGACGTGATGTGGTTGCACTGCCAAAAAATAATAATTCAAATGATGCTGTTCGATCCTGCCTGACTCAACCCTAAAAAAAAAAAATAAAAATGATATCCTCAAATGGATGTGTGTTTCGATGTCTCTTCCCTATCGCATCGCACTTTGTGCACTGCCTTTGCTGCACTCCACGCCTCGAATGATTTAACGGGTCTCCACAGCTTCAAGGGGTGAGTTGAGTGCACTACGGTGCAATTATATTTTTTCAAACTCACTTATTAACTTAAATCATTACACTTCATTCTAGCAACTCATTTCTATAAGTTAGCGTAGAAATTATCTCTCTTTCCTTCTCTTTTCCAATAAATTAATTTCCTCGTCTGTCTTTTATAATCAACTCCTCAATCAGAATAAATAAATGAATAGAATTAAATAATCCCAACGCTTTACCTGCTGCTTATGTACAATTTTCTGTCTTTCTGAATTAATTGATTACAATTTTCTAAATGAATAGTATGCACTAGCGATCAATGATGATTTAATACTGTTGTGGTGAAGTCTTCACATTCGAAAAATTCAGATGTAAATGAGAATGAATAGAATTTTACTTTTTTGTAAAATAATTCGTTGAATTTGACGCTCGAGCAGTTGAAATGAACACCTGTCACTTTTATACAAATTTCAATTCCCTCTTCCATCTCGATGAGAGACTAAGAAAGGGACAGTGAAAATCTTTATTCTCTCAATCGAACATTTTTCCAGTTGCAAACCAATTGCCATTACCATTTCACCAGGACTGGATTTAGATTATTCATTAAATTACCTCAAACGTGTAATTCTGTCCTCCACCGTTTGAATAATCGTATTTCGTTGAGCACAGCTATTTCACTGCTCGATTTACCTCTCCCCATTCAGTATTTCTTTTCTAAGCCACGAAGAACGTATAATCAGCCAATTCATTCTGAATCTGCGACAGGCTCTTGGCCCTGGTCTCCGGTAAGAACACAATAACGAATAAAAGGCCAAATGATCCAACAAGTGTAAACGACAAAAATGCCACATACAATCCCTTTTTGAAATTGATTATCTCGAAGACAGCTTGATTGATCATGACAGCTAAATAGAACACGGAAAAGCAGATGCTCATGGAAATGGTTTTCATCTTGCTGGAGAAGACTTCACTTGTGAGAAGAGGAAGAATTGGTGCGACACCTAATGAGTACGAGGCGTAATAAACGATGACGATACCAAGAGTAACGAGTTTTTCACTGGAATAGAGCATATGCTCGTGATTAGCTTGATAGAGAGCAACGTCGATTGCTAAAACAAGACAACAAATGCTGGATCCACCGATGGACAGCAACAGCAGAGGCTTCCTTCCGAGTTTCTCAATGAAGAACACGCAGATGCCAACGGATGTCAGATCCAGTGATGCTATCAAGATCTTCGATATCTTCGGGTGAAAGTCATCGAGAAAGCTTTTACTGTAGAAGTCCATTGCGAAATTACCAACTAATTGGCTGATGCATAGCAACAGCATCGTGATGGATGTTGGGATTCGACGGCTGCTCGAAGAGAATACGAGCTTCAGGGGATTTCCACTCTCCTGCAATTTCTTCTCGTTGACGTCGAAGAACTTTTCCATCGATTTGTATTCCAACTCGACGTCCAGCACGTGGTGAGCACCTCGAAGAGCTTTCAACGCCAATTTGGCTTCGAGGGTCTGCAATTGGAGATCCGATTCTTGAGATTATTATTATTGACATATCAATAATTGTTAATTTAAAAGGATAAGGGATATGAAGCCCTCACTTTGCCAGTCTCGTATATATAATACGGCGACTCAATCATCCAAAAGTATATCGTCAGTAAAAATCCAACAGATACGGTGCACATGAGGAGTGGAATCAACTGATCAGGATGGAACGAGGAAATGGTCGTGCTGATAACGATACCGAGGTAGGCAAAAAATGCTGCCAATGAACCAACAATACCACGTTGATCCGGAGACGATACTTCCCCCACGTACATCGTCGATGTTACAATGAACAATCCAGCAGAAAATCCACCAACAGCAGCACCGAGCATCAGTGTCTACGATGGGAAATAAAATAAAAGTAAAAAATCATGGGGTATAACAAATGGCGGCGGATAAAAGGGGTATTACGATATTGTCTCTGGCTATTCCAAGAATCAGCCAGAATATAATACTCGATATTGCTGATATACAGAAGCTGTGACGACGACCCGATATATTGACGAGACAAGCTGGCACTAGGGCACCCAAACATGATCCCAGGTTAACGATCATGTGAATTGTTGAGCTGCCATCGTTGGAGAGGTCGTAGCATATGTCATCGCACTTGATTATGTTTACGTGATATGTTATTGATGACTCTGGCCAGCCCAGGGTTAAACCGATGCTTGCCGCACCGAGACACACTGGAAGATTTAAATATATCGAGATTGTCGACCGAGTAATAAGAAGAAACTCGGGAATTCCCAGTAATTCCATATACTGCGCGCGCAGTATATTGAATGCAATTTTTGAATTTTTAAAAAATTCTCTCCATTTCAAAATTGAGAGAAAAATTATGGATTCTTTAATGATTCATAAAAATAATTAAATAATCAAGAAGATAATAAATAAAATAAATCCAATATTCAACAATATAGAAATGAAAGAATATTGATATCACATTTTCAAATTGAAAATGATTTTTTTTTTATCATCAGCAGGAAACGGTTGAGGAAACAAAGAGTGCAATTGTAATTTAAATAATGCTAATTACGTGCAGTAATTCTTGTCACTTTTTATTTCTTGTTTTTTTTTTAATGTTGATTTAATGTTTTAAAATGTTTAGAAATTATGAAGAGTAATTAGAGATTCATAATTAAGTAATAAAATTGAATGCGAGAACAAAAAAATAACATCGGGAATTCACGCGTGTGTCTGACTAAACGAGGAATAAATCTACTTGCGAGGTGCGAGATTCAGATTAATTTCGTTCCAAGTAAAAAGATCGTTGAAATTTACGACCAAAATTTTTTGACTTAAGATAATGCAATATCTCTCCCATTCTTCAAGTTTGTCGCATAAAAATTCTTTTCAGAAGTTTATGCCTCTCGTTCCTGGAAATTTTTTATCACACCCATTGATAAAAAAAATTAAATTCCGAGACCATTGGCTAATTTTCTAAAGGAATGGCCTTCAATTGAAAGAAAGAAAAACAGTGAAATTTCAAATCTCCCTGAAAATCTAGTAACAAAATCTAATAAAATTCCATTCTGTTAAATTTTAATTGGATTATTAGAAAAATAAATCGTTTTACTCACGAGACACGAGATTCAAATTGAATTGGCGAACATTGGACTGTGGGATGTCCTGGAGATTATCTTGCTTCGACTCTTCGGAAAAATCGCATCGACAACCGAGAGAATTCATGAATGATTCGCTGAAATCTATGAACCACTGACTAAACTAATTTCCACTTCTGTCGAGGTTGACGTTTCGAGTGTTCGGCGTGTAATCGACTCGTGTGCCTTCATACCTGCACTAAACTCTGTTTTGTTACTCATCGATATTCTAACCGATACTCGTTATCAGTTTTACCACAAACATTTACTAATCTATGTCTAAATTATTAGCTGCCATATGACGTAGTGGATGTTTCTAGCTCATGCATGACTCCCATTTTTTTGAGATTTATTAATATTGAGAATGGCTTCGAGGAGATTCAATTTATTCCATTGATTTCAGTATTGTCAAAGGATTTCCACCGGTCTCACCGTTCATTGGAGTATCACCCACACTGTGTTATTTGTTGAAAGAGAAAAAGCCATTGTGCTGCCTGCAATTAGCGCAGGTTTGTTCATTTCATTTAATAATAACCCTTTCTGATCGCGGGGTTGTGGTGAAATTATCGGAGAGTCATGGATAAAATTATAATTAATTAATTATAATTAAAACCGACGGGTTTTCAATTTTTTATTCTACTTTTTACTCTATTCATGATAAAAATTCTCATCAAATTTTTCTTTCATTCCCTCGTTGTGGAATAATTACGTTCCTTAATTTTATAATTCAATTTTCCATCCGTTTTTTATTTTAATTGTTCATTTATGAACTCGTTAATCGTATTTTTTTTTACGTCGCTAATTAAATTGTTGGCTCGATAAAAAGGCAAGGAGTTCTTTAATTCATTCTTAACTCCTGCATCGAAATATTCATTTCAATCAATTGCGTGCAATTTATTTCAATTAATAACTTTTTCAAACAAATTTACTATTAGTTTTCATCAATTTTGGAAATTGCGAGGTTTTTCACGAATATCTCGGAATGTATGACAAATCACGAAATTTTTGATAAAATCTTTTTCATAGAGCTAATTGCGACCTACAAAAAAGGTCCTTATCAAAACTTCACCCGGTCCCTTAATTTCGTAAAAATTCCTAAAGAATTCACAGAAGAGATAATCCAACTAGAATTTCTACGACTTGGCGAAGTTAAATGAAAATATCAATAAAAATTGTACAACAAAAATGAAAATCCTCAGGTTTGTGAGCACTGCAGCTACAGAAACGCAAAAGAATACAATTGGCAGAATAAAACAATAATATTAGCAGCGGATTACGCGAGTAACGGAATATACAATTTCATAATTCCCCTGCGGGCTCACTTCAGGTGAGTAAAATGGCGTCTCGACAACTCAATCATCCGTGGTGATTTAACCCACTGACGTTTACTTCCTCTCAGATCCAAAACTTCTCTTAACCCGATCATTCTTCTGCTGGAGAGAAGACCGGAAATTGCCTTTCTAGACGCCATCTCTTATTTTCCACTGGTATATTGGATGCTCGGATCGATTGACTGTCTCGACGACCTCCTTCGTGCTGGTATCACACTTGCCGAAAATGTCGTTGTTGTCAACAAGGAGTTGAGCAATTCCGCTGAAGAAGATACACTGGCCGACTGCAATACCATCGTCGCTGTTCAGACAATGTTCAAGTGAGTTTTATGCTTTTTATCTCTCACCATTTTCCTTTCACGTGAACACCACAATATCAACCCCGAGTGAAATGGAGGCGCATTGAAAATTGCTTTATTCTCTATTTTCTAGATTTAAACGAAATTAAAGAGATCAATCAAGTTTTTAGGAACTAGTGGATTTGGGAAATGGTTATGGGGATTCCCGGAAAATTAAAAAAAAGACAATTATGTCTATGAATTACGTGAGAGTTCGAGATGTAATTCGATTTTATTCGATTACATCGACTCCACTAAACGTGAAAAAAAATCGATTTTCCATTCTCAACGGAAATCATAAGTCCTTGAATGCGTTTCGAGTATCGACATAAAAAATTATCGGTATCACTCGAATTCCGAAGAATTCCACGGATTGCAACAAACTGTAAAATAAAAAAAAACTATTTTTCACTGAAAAATGCGCTTTAAACGACAAACTCTCCTACAACTGTTTTAATATTAAAACCATTTAGAAAACAATCAATTAAAAATCGATAAAAAATTTCCAAAACCGTTGGATTGAATCGTCCAATAATTTCTTATTTTCAGTCTGTAATAAAAATGGGACATGCGCAATTAGTAATTAAAAGTCATAAAAAACCTCGTAAATGTTGAATCCTGATATGAATTCCAATACGAATGAATAATGCCAAGAATTTTCGGACGATCCCATCGATATTCTCTCTCTGGTCTAGTGTAGCTGGGAAAAGCCTTTCGAAAATTGCCAACGTCCATCCCCAGACCTGATTAAATTCCCAAATGTTAATCGATAAATATTCAACAGATTCTTCCCCAGCATAAAGAGCATAACTGAGCTGTCGCAGTCTAGCAATATGAGATTCATGCAATTCCGGGCGCACGACAAGTACGCACTACACCTCAGCAAAATGGAAAAGGTACTCCTCAGTGCTACTTCCGGTGACAACCATCCCGATGAGCCTCCCATGGGCTCCCCGGTAACACAATAACACTCACTCTGACCTCTCAATTCATTACCTGAATGATGATTAGATCCAATTGACTGTCACTACGAATGAATCTGTCACGTGTGAGCTTGCTATCTACCAAGACCGTAAAAATATTATTAATTCATTCCACCGTCACTAATTCATGCATTCATTTTTTAAAAAACCACCCCAACTCTCGGCAATTAATTCAATAGTCAGCGAAAGTTCAATTAATAAATTGTTGGAGTTCATTAGGACACAGTTAGTTTGAAATTCGTTAACTTATCGAATCATATGAATTTTTAATTAATCAGTTTTCATTCAATTTGGATTACAAATGGGGAGCAATTTTCTCATTCATCTTTTTCATTTTTTTTAATTAACTGATTCGTCCATTGAGAACTCTACAGAAATTTCATGTCAATTTATCGTTGGTAATGGTTTAAAGTTTTTTTTACTTTAAATTTCAAGTGTAATTTTCCAACACGGCATTTTAAAATGTTAATAGCTGAAGAGTTGGAGTTTATTGTGTGATCTGTAGACCAATTCGGACTTTTAGTTAGTCATGCAAGAATCTTCTTTACTATTTCTTGAACTCGTTTCTCACAGGAGTCATGGCCTCGTCATAACACTTCGGTCTTGGTTATTCGATCAACGATTCGATCGAATAGCACTCTATTTCTATCTCTAGAGTTTATTTCCATGAGTCCATAGAGATTTATTCACTTTATGAGCTTTGGGTACAGAGAAAGTAGTGGAATTCTTGAAAAAAAAAAAGAATAAGACTGTCAAATACGTCTCGCATGCAATTTAGTAAATATTTCTGGAAGACAAAAAATTTATAAAAAAGTTCCACGAAATGGCGTTGAAAAATTGAACCTAATTAAAAACTCACTGATTATTCATTTAACCCACTTAATCATTCAATATGATTTCCGCGTAATCAATTAATTAATTAATTAGAGAAAAAGTCGAGTGAAATTTTCAAGAATCCACGATTTTCCCACTGTAATATTTTTTGCTTGACGAATAAATATTCGGGAAATTCGAGGAAGAGGTAGAGATAAAATCAATGCACGTACAGAAAATGACTCAGATCGTTTCAATTATCGAATAAATGATTATTATTCGTTGCAGCCACGTGATTCGTGTCCCGGAGCTGCGAAAACTCTACAGTAGATAAATACTTTAAACAATTAATGATGGAGGGGATTTGAGTACCCAGTAGTTCACTCAATGTAGAGATAAATTAACTCTAATTATCGCAGCTGAGCCTCACATATTTGTCACAGAACTAATTAGCTCAATTAACTATCCGGTGGTACTTGAATCTTTTCGATAATCAATTAACGATAAAGAGCATGAAATAGTCATTATCCTGTTCGTCTTTCAGTGGTGAATGGGTGAAGTTCGCTTGATAATTCTAATTTGTTTAAAAAATTCAACGAAAAATTTTCCTAAAAAATGCTTTTATAATTCAATCACTTGACTGATGTTTCAGTGAGATTATGAAATATGAGAAACTATCAGAGATATTTCAATTGCAAATATAAATTCCACCCAAAATTATCAACTCCACCGCTTCACCACCGACTCAATCCTCCAAATGAATAAATTAAAATTGATAGACTGGATAAATATTAATATACAAATGCATGCAATGTGTGCTAGATCTCACAGCAACTGCACTGTTAATATTTCAATTTCTTATCAATAATAATGAGAAAAAGTGAGCTGAACTGTTGATACCCTAAGAGCCCAGCATTTCTCCTTATAGAATATTCATCGAATAGTGAAGGGGATAGGTTTTAAAATAATTAGGTGAAATATTTGATTAATGGACAATGTTGTAGAGGGAAAAGGAGAGAGGATCACACATATCGTACATGTTCAGACTGCCATTTGCTGCTGGTAGTGTCTTCAGTGCATCAATGCTGGATACACTTTTGTATCAGGCCTTTGTTAAGGATTATGTGATAACATTCGTCAGACTTCTACTCGGTATTGACCAAGCTCCAGGCTCTGGCTTTCTGACCTCGGTATGTGCGCACGTTATTTATGCATTTTTATTTGCAGGTATTTGCATTAATGTATCCACATTAATGTGCAAGAGCCTTCGGCCTTGTTTCGCTGATATTCGGAATGGAAAAATTAAAATTTTCCTTGAATTTCGTCTGCTCTAAAATATCCACAGGCCAATGCCCAATTTTCATTAAAAATAATACCACAAACCAATAAATTTCTCATTACAATTCCTGACACGTCACGATTGACCCGAAGAATTCATTATTTATAAATTGTTTATCTAGTTATTTCATTGAAAGGAAAAGGGAGCAGTACGCAAACGCATTATGAAAATCTTCAAGCTTGAGGCAATTGTCAAATGAATTTGTTAATTAACGAACGCGATTTGATGATTTATAAAAATTTTCAGTTCATGACTAAAAAATTAATAATTAAAATGAGAAACCTAGAGTCAGTAACTTCTCAGCAGAACGGCTGTCCGACACGATAAACACCTCTTCTTCCGATCATAAACTTCCACAATTCCCTTTTTATAACTACCGCATTCTTGGTAATAATATCTGCATTGTAAAATCACTGGAAAAAAACCACAGGATTTCAACGTATAAAACCAGATCGTAACGTGGAGAGTTTATTTGAGAAGGAAGGACTCGCCCTCAATTTCAGAATTCTTCCTTCGAGACTCATCCGTTTATCTATTTCCATAAACGCGCTTGAAAAATCCTTGACTTTCCATTTTTATCTCTAGCCTCTCAATGTGACACGGTAATCTACGAGATTACAATAATTTTATGGATAATAATTTAATTTATATCACAACCATTGAGATCTCTCTTCCTGATGATTTTTTTATTTAAGTGGAACATCTAATGTAACTCCCTAAAAAAAAAAAAATTTCTTCCGATTTATTCGTTAAAATATCAGAAAAAAAAATGGATTCGAAGATAAAATAATTGATTTAATTGTTAAAGATTTTAAGTTTAAGTTACATTAATATTCCAATTTTTAAACAAAATCAAAAACTGTAAAGAGATACGTCCTCCAATCATTCGTATATTATTTTTCAATAAATACGTAAAAAAAAAATTGATTGTCTGAAAATTCCACCAATTATGTCCGTTAATTGCAGATGCAAATCACAAAAGATGACATGTGGATACGAACGTACGGTAGACTCTATCAAAAGCTGTGCTCGACAACGTATGAAATACCGATAGGTATCTACAGAACTCAGGACACGAGTGTTACCGATACCTCGAACGTGAGTAAAATTTCATTAACATTTAGATATGAAGGGCGTCCAATTGTAGAAGAGACAGCTGAGAAAACGAAACAGATTTTTGAATAGAGATGAAAAAAGCTGAGATGGCTGTGAGTAGCGCATGTGCTCTCTGGCGCTAGCTCCTTTTTATCACATCCACCTCTATCTCATCTCATTCCTCTGCATTTATGCTTATGAGTCTAACGTTGTAGAAATTCCCTCGACAGATACATTAAAATAGACTCTTAAATTATTACGAATTGCATCAGACAGATTAAAGTAGAAGTAAAGAGAACGAATTAATCTCTCGTGATCAATACGTCTGAGGTAGATCCAAAAAGCTATTTCTCCAACAACTCCAAAACCCCAAAATAGTAATTAAAAAATAGAATATCAAATCATTGTTTGCACAGCGTGATGTGACCCAGAGTTCATCGAACCATTTGCGGTGAGAATTAATTATTCATGAAAGGAATGCATCGTGACAGTAATCTAGGTGAACGAGACATTCTTCATAAATTTATTTAGCGTCTGTTAGCCCCTTATCCTTCCAACTGTTTTATTATCCTCACATAATTATAAAAATGTCCTCTGAATGATAATTCCATTGAGTGATCTCTTTCAAATTTTTTCCCATTCTCTCTTTTTGAAATGTTTGTACGTTTAAGATTGCTGTAATTTTATTAAATTATGAATTTTACTTTATTCACTCTTTATTGAATCCCTATGATACGTAGTCCCCTTGGAAGTCTTTGAACTCCCGTGGAAATTGAGATTAAGGGAATCCTCTTATTTTCAAGCAATAGTGGAGAGGATTCATGGATAAAGCTACAGCGAAGACTGGAGCTCGAGCAAGTGTTAATATTTTCTTCAGTTCACCACTTTCTCTCTGCAAGAACAATTTTTTCACTGGATTACACTTCTCTCACTTTCAAACAAGCAACATTTTCCTTTTCATTATTTCATCATTTAATAAAAACTGAATCCAGTGATCAATTAATTCTCAAATAAAAAAAGAAAATCCATGAAATCCTCAGTAAAGTTCCTATGTAATTCGATTAAAGAGGATCTCCTAAAATCGTTTAGAAAAAATTCTCGTGACCCTAACACGCATCTACTAGACATTCACTAATTTACTCCAAGAAATTAATTATTAAATAAAAAAAATCTAGACTAGTTTGCCCTAGACGGTAGGATCGTGAGTTTATTTTCAGGGAAGCGGGCAGTTATAGAATGAATAAGATCACCCAAGGGTGCTGTAACTGGAACAATTGTCAGTAGTAAGGGTTAGCGAAATATTTTGCTTGTCCTCTTTTAACAGGACTCGGATGCTGAGAGCGATACAGGAGTCGGTGTCACGTACAAGATGCGCCGTACAGCGGCTGCTGCGTGCCTGTCAAATTGCTCTGCCCGTGAAAAGGGTGCATCGGCAGTGAGTAAATTGCATAAGTGTTTAACGTCTCATGCTTAATTAAATTCCGTGAATTCATGTGCTTGAATTTCAAATGCATCTATGAACGATTATTTTATTATTGATTTTATTAATAATCAATGGGCAGAAAAAAATTCGAATACAACCCCTTAATCATCTCCTTCCCAAAAATTCAGTTGTGGATGTCATTCTGTCATTCCAATAATCCAAAACACGATAATTACGCAAATGTAATTACACAATTCGTTCGATCGAAATTGACTGACATTTTTCCACTCGAGTGAAAAAATTTCCGTGACGCAAGATTTCAGTCAGTCCTATAGAATTCTCTTTCTGAAATTTTTCTCTGCTCATGTCGCTCTGAAAATCATCCACTGCGACGAATATCTGCGCTCCAGCAACAGCAGACAACAGCCGGCAATAAAATACTCGTAAGAAACCCTTCAGACGAATAAGAAATGCATTAAGCCATTGTACGACTAAACCTACCGGACTCCATTTTGTTTGTATACTCTCATGATACACCAGTACTTCCACAGATAAACTATCTTCATACGAACAATTAGTCATGCAATTGCTTAAAATTTTCATCTCCAAAGATGCGGTAGTGGCTCCCGCCAAGTATGCACTCCCGATTTAAACGTACGCACATCACGTGACCAAAATGATCAGCTCGAATTATAAAATGGACGGATGCATTATTGTACTTTTAATATCAATGACTATTGTACGTTTGGGTGATTAATTGATTAATTAATTGATTGATTGATTAATTGATGGATTTTGGCAATTATTTGTTTTTAGAGAAAAACCAAGAAACAAATACGTAACAATAGATTCCAAGAATATATTGAATTGTATTGAATATATATTATTTATAATTTTTTTCATGGGGTAGAGGAACCGTCTATTTGATAATTTGACCGGTCAGATTGTGGTGAGGATGACTCAGAGTCCCATCGCCGATCAGATCCGTATTTTCTGTCCTCAGTACTCAGTCTCAATAGCCGACGAAGCCCGTGATAATCACACCCAGCAGATAGAGCGCGCCGAAATAGCGAACCTGGTGCGTTCACGAATGGAGTCCCTGAATCTACCAGTTGCCGATTACGACGACGTCTCAGAGAAGCGAAACAGTCTCTCCTACGTGATAATCAATCCAAGCTGCGACCTCAAGCTCGAAGAGGGTGATATCGTGTACTTGGTCCGGCCAAGTCCCTTCTCAGCCCAGAAGACCTTCGAGCGTCACAACTCAAGACGCAAATCAAACATAAGCTTCTGCTCAGCTCAATTGGTTGCCCAGATGTCAGCGGCAGTTGCATCATCGGGAATTGGTAGTGGTGGTAGCAGAAGGGGCTCGGGAATTGGTTTGGCTAGGGCACCACCACTCGGTGGCACCAAGTCAAATTCACTCTCTTTACCGGACAGTCCCACCGTTGCCGGAAGCCTGCGCGGCCGTTCGAATTCGTTGCGCGTGGTAGACGATATCCTACTCAGACGAAGCAATTCACTTCGCCAGGGTTTCACCACGCGACGAAAGAGCAGCCTGGAGGACATCGGCCTCGGTGCGTTGTCCCATCCAACAAATCACAATCCTATTAAAATAGCACTCAATGGATCTATTGGCCTAGAGGTAACACCACCTGAAGAGGGTATACCTGGTGGTAATGCAAGTAATACTGGTATACTCGATGTTGGTTTACCATCTATGCCAGCACTTGGTACTGGCTTAGGCGCTCCACTTGGTCCACCTCTGGGTGCGGGTCTTGGCGGTTCACTTGGGGGTCTCTATGATCCACCTATTGTTCAGAGCAAAGGACTCGTTAATACACAACAGTCACAGAGCAATCAGGATCCTCAGCACATACAGGGGACAATCGTATGATACAACCTTATGTGGGGACGCCGACTCTCCAGTGTAGTCAGAAATAAGTGGATATAGCGTTCCCACATAGATGGACATTTTAGGTATTAGACGAGGCGTCTTCTAGTGGATGAGAGAATTCATCGGTTTGTCCTTTTTCCATCCCCAAAATTCACTCGCTCATAATTACACTTAATATTTCAGGTGTTTTTGGAGTTGTTTAGTAGATTCGCACCAGCTATTCAGCCTCCATCCAATCTCTTTGCTTTTAGTTTTTTAGTTTTCTGATTGAAGGATTGGTTCATCATCTTTGCCAGTTTTGAAGAGATTTCTCAGTCGCCATCAGTAATTATTGACTGAACAGTCAGTCCATTTAATTTCAATTTGAATAAATGTAAATCACTCACTCATTAGGTCAATGGAGAAGATAAATTAAAATTATTAAAATTATTGGTGTGAATCGACTATATGATTATTAAATAACGAGTGATAATCATCCATTAATAATCCAATCTGATCTTAATTCTCTGATAACAGAGTGATATCAGGGGAAATATCCTTAAGAGATTCATCAAAAATAACTGTAGAAATATAAAAGATTGAAAAACAATCGAAGGAATTCCCCTGGAACCGAAGAATTCTCTCATCTGCGTGAGGTTCAATTGAGCAATTACTCAGTCTTTTTATTCAACAGAACAAGAATATAATTGGCTGTTGGTATTAGGGATGCAATGATGTTCTACGAATTTGCATCTCTAGTTGGTATTACGTTCTTTCGTTTGTTCGGTATCAATGAAATGGTGATGAATCGCAAAATATTAAAGAGAATTCGAACGGCTTACGACCCGGCTCGGAGGCCACTATGTCGGATGAAGGGAGTCCCGGGAGGTGGTGCTCGTAACGACCCGTGCCCTGCATTAAAAACCGGATTAACCACAAGACGATACGACTTGGTTGCCGATTACTGCGATACAAAAATTATTAGTTTAGTTTTTTAAAGGAACCATTTGGGGATTTATTTCAGGAGATTAGATATGTAAGTAGAAAATAAATGCATTCGAACTACACGAAATCACTGAGAAAGTCATTGAGTAGTGGAGTGATAAATAAAATTCATTTGCTAATTGTTTGTTTAATATTTACACTTGATTAGGTCTCAATTATCATGATTGTTGCATAATTGCATAATTGTTGCTGCTTCATTGGAATTTTTTCATGAAGATATTGATGATTGAAGGAATATTTAATTTCAAGTGAAAAAGATGAGTGGTGTTTCAGTGATACGATTTATCAGATTTTGTTTATGGAAATAATTATAATTTTCGAGGAGAATGTGATTTTGTTTTCGTAATAGTATAATGTAATTCACTCCACTGCGGATGTATTTAGACGTCATATCACAGGAGAACTTCGCGATTAAATAACCATTCACTGCGTTAAACTAAAATTATGTAATTACTTAGGAGAGATTTTCTATTTAAACGTTATGAAAAAGACAAATTGAAAAAGTGTAATTAGATAATTAACTGTTAATGATTACAGTTCAAGGGGATGATGAGCCCTCGAATTAACGATCGATGCCTCCTCTCGGCTAGTGAAATTCAATTCCAAGTATTTAGGAATTAAAAGATATAAATAATTGATGGATGAGGAATTAAAGAAGATTTTTAGGTATTGTAGGATTAAATCGGCGTGTTAATGAGTGGAATAATCAACGCCAGAAATTTTTGTACGACACGACCTAGAACAATCGCTCGATTGGTCTGACAAATCAGCGAATGAAAATCCTCCCTTGATGAAACAAAAAAAGTTCAAACGAATTTTAATGGATAACGAAGGTAATCAACATTAATATTTCATTTGCTTTATAATCGTTAATCGCTATTTTGATAATTTATTGAGCGATTACAGAATCATTTTATTTCTCGACAATCTCCTATTCTGTATTGTATTTCTGATGTATCGAAATACTTATAGAAATTCTGAAATTCATTCAGAGACCAATTTACAATTATTGTAGGGAAAAGTAAATAGTTTTTCGGCTGAACTCAATATTTCAGGAGGTTCAAGTGGTTTTCAAATTTTGGATCTTTTTTATGGACCAGAAATCAGCATCAATAATTACTTTTTATTTTTTGATTGAAATTTATTCCAAAAACTTTATTTTTTTCAAAAAGGTAATACATTAAATAATTCATTAATTAGAAGTTGATAAATAAATAGTATAATATCTTTTAATAATTCAATTCATATTCATATATTTATAAAACGCTCCGGTTTATCTCGAATTAATTAATTTCCACAGATTTTTCCACTTGAACCTTCTCAATAAATTACGTGAACAATTTTATGCATTCAATCGCTGTTTTCAATCGCTTCAATTCAATCACAATTTTCACGTACAAAGTATGATTTATAATTGATTAGCTATGAATTACTGCGTAATTTTCGTGTTTTATCTCCGATTTTATTGAGTACTGAATTTTCAATTAATTTTTTTTACAATAGTCATTAGTCAACTAATGACTATTGTCAGAAGTTTTTAAAATATCCCTGAGTGACTAGATCCACAAACGATTTTCAATTTAGAAAGAGATAAATTGTGTCTAGAAATCAGCTTAGGCTATTCTAGGAGTCTTAGTTGGAATCGAATCATTAAAGAAAAAAAGAGTGGATTAAAAATTGTCAGCGCATAGACGTCTTGTAGATTAAGACTAGAAGCCTCTACCTGATGAATTATCGAAGAAAAAAAAATGAATGATGGGATGGATAATGATTAATTAATTGATGGATGAAGCGACGGGAGAAAATATATAATAACAAAATGATTTTTTAATTTTCCTCGAGTTATCTTTCGTTTCACTTCACCAAATAATTCAATCAATTTCAATATCAATGATAGTATGGATTTGTGAATAGTAATCAATGGGGGAATAAAAAAAATATTATTGAAGAATGCGCCCAATGATGACCAATTTTTTCATCCAACGCTACGCTCGATTAAATTTCAATTGTAAAAAACTTATAACGTAACACTGATTTTTCATAAAATTCAATTTCCGTGGAGGTGTCGGGAATAATTATAATTAGCATGTAAGTAAAGTTAAATCCTCGACCAGAAACCAAAAAATTAATTACCAAAATGAAACCAAATGTGAACGGCTGTATTTAATGTAATATAAAAAGAAATATTATTGAAAATAAGAAAAAAAATGTACCTATTGCAAATTATGTGTTGTCGTTTCTATGAACGCAATTCATGAGGTAAATTTATTATAAATATACTATAATTATTATAGCATATGTGTATATTGACTTTATTGTAGTTAGATTCCCCAGAATTTGTCGATTTTATCGGGTAAATATTGAGTACCCACGTTATCCACGAGTGAGCAGATTCTTCTCTATTTTATATAACAGCCATGATAAAACATATCCCTTCCTCATTGACCCTTGATATTCGCATTACAAGCGGAAACGCAGATTTTAAAACCGAAAATCTATAACTCGAGTCCGACTATTCAATAAAATATAATTCAATTTTCAAACATCATAACAATTATTTTTATATATTTTCCTCAAGAACATTACGTGTATAATGATATATTTATATTTTGTAAGATGTTTTAGCTGATTTGTGAGATGCTAAAAGGTTGTTCCTCCTGAGCCCCATTCTTCTCAATCTTCTCCAATAGGCTTTAGTGTTGGGGTCTAGTTCCTCGAGTTTCGGTGGTCTCTCAGTCCAAATTTCAGTGAAAAGCCACTCCGGGTATTCACTTTCAGGTTTGAGTTTAATGTCTTCACCTTCTTTGTAGATATTCGAGCCACAGACGTAATTTACGAGTTTGTGGGGATCTGTTTCCACTGGGAGAACGATTTTCCCAGGACCCGCAGTACCTTTCTTCCCTTTTTTCGGTTTTCCCAGAGCTCCTCCTGTCAGTCAATAATTAATAATCAATTTCTGGAGAACTAGCTCGCAGGAATAATCACAGAAAGGTTATTTTTATTTGCATTTTTATTCTAAATCACGAATCAACTGTATTTGTTGTATTTATTGAACCGCAATTGAACTTCGATTTTCAAATGAATAAACAATGGGTATAACATAACCTCAAGGAGGTTTTTCTTCGTTCTCGTCACACGAGCAATTAATTGCATATATCATTGTTTATTCACCTGGTGCTGCATACCCACACTTTGCTACTAAATGTTGAAGAGGTGTAACAAGTTTTGTCTGCCTAAAAATCGAAATAATCAGCAAGAAACTCATCTTGTCACTACAAATTTCGTTGAATGATTTTTTCTATGGAATAGATCAAAGAGGATTGACTAAAGTAGAGGCTCAGTTCCGGGGGTTCGAGTGACCCCAGCTGCATCGTAGTACTGCACCCCAAGAGAGGGAGGGCGCCACACGCAATGGGGGTGTCTCTTTAATTCCTCCCCTGGAATAAATTATCACGCCCTCCCTGTCGTGGAGTTGATACTAAAATTCTTGGGGTCACACTAACCCGGGCCAATTCCGAGAGTCCAAAACATCAAATTTATAAATAAATAAACTATTAATTGATTTTTATAGTTTCCTGTAATTGTTAAATGATTTCCCTTGCTAATAGCAGTTGGGAGAGAAGTGAAGTGGGTGATAATCTCAGTAAACAATTGTTTACAAAGGTGGGATTATTTTTTTGGGGTTAACAATTGCTTTCTTAACAATCGTATAAACAAATTTCATGATACCATGCAACAATCTCTGTTTATGATCAGTTATATAATAAATAATAAATCTGTGTGCATTTTTTTTATCAATGAAGATAAAAACGAATTGATTATTGAGATAATTTCTTTATTAACATCTAGGTTCTAGTGATAAATAGAAGAAGGGGAAGGAGAAAAATTATTTATAGAATGAATGTTTAATTTAAGAAAATGAATTAATTTTTCTTCTTCCACTGCGTTACTCACAATTTTTTTTCATCTTTTACTAATCTTCCAGGGAAATTCCCAAAAAAAAAAGAATCGTGACCGGAAAAAATGTAAAACTGAAAAATCTCCGAAGAAAAAAGGACCAAACACATCTGAGCCGACGAAGGACCCGATTCGCTCGCTCAAAAAAAATCTGAAGACCATCAAAGAAAAATTGATATCAAAAACTGACCAAAACATTCATTCCACGACAAAATCCCATAGAAAAAATCCTCTAGAATCCAAAAAACAAGCCACGCCTAATAAACAATTCATCAAGTCTCTCCGACAGAAATCATTGAGTCTAAAACTCAGTGACAGCCCCAAATCTCAAAAATCCAAGTTTTCTCAGGATGAAAATTGCCAAAAATCCTCAAAATCTCCAAAAAACCGAAATCAAAAACGGAACAAAAACAGACAGAATGACCAGCAAACGAATGTTTCAAACCAGAATTTAAGTAAAAAATTGAAGCCACAAAATAAGCAACAACTAAAACGTAAGATTGTTAAATTAAATCTCAAAGAGAAAACAAGCATCAATATCATTAAATTAGGACACATGCTGGATTTAAAAAATAAAGAAGTGGTCGATAAATCCCAGAGTTTGAGAGAGAGAATGGTTTCCCAGTTAAGAGCCTCGAGATTTCGATTTCTGAATGAAGAGCTCTACAAGAATGACTCGACAATCTCCAAACAGTTGTTTAAGGATGATCCAGAGGCTTTCAAGGCCTATCATGACGGATACAAGCAACAGGTGAATCAGTGGCCAGTGAATCCCCTCGATGTCATCATTACTGCAGTTAAAAAAATGTAAGATAACTCCTTCATGAGAGAGAGATACTGATTTTCTATAATACCACCAATAAATTTATGGATCTCAGCAGATTTATGAGTTTTTATATTTCCAGGCCCAAGGACTGGATTATTGCTGATTTTGGATGCGGAGAGGCCCGACTCGCAGCTTCTGTCATTCAGAAAGTCCACTCGATCGATTTTGTAGCAATAAATGATAAAGTAACAGCTTGTGATATGGCACACACTCCTCTTCTTATCAGTGGAGTCAACGTTGTAGTATTTTGTTTGTCCCTAATGGGAACTAATCTCAATGATTATCTCCGCGAGGCGAATCGAGTGCTGAAGAAAGAGTAAAATCAATCAATAATAATAGTTAGCCCTTTCAGTTCCCTTTCAATTTCATTGTACATAAATCGATCTTTTCGTTTTACAGTGGAATTTTGAAGATTGCCGAGGTCGAGAGTCGATTCGACAACATCGACGAGTTTATAACTTTATTAGCGAGCTTTGGATTCAAAAATAAGTGGAAGGACTTGTCCCACAATTTATTCTACTTCATGGACTTCAAAAAAATATCGGACGTCATCGTGAAGAATCAGAAATTACCACAATTAACGTTGAAGCCTTGTTTGTACAAGAAGAGATGATTAAAATAAATAAAATCTTAAAAATATGCAATAAAAAATCGTAATTACCAAAAGAGAATTTTAATTGGATTAAAATAAAAAAATTAATTATTTCAGCTATTGTTATCACCTCAAATTTCCGTAGATAATTAAGAATAAGATCAGAGGCGGGAATAATTCAAACAGTTCCCCAATAGATCAGAACAGCGCAATGACAAACAAACAGTAATAAACTCGTGACGATATGGATAATCCCGATATCCATATGTATAAAAAAAATATGTATATACCCAACCCACTGGCTATTTAACCAAAAGTCAATGACAGAATCGTGACGATAGACCCGAGGCTCGTCGACGAGGGGTACTACACCGGTGGTTATGTAATGCCAATAAACAATTGTACCAAGTCCCAGGTAAATAGTAATTACTCGCCCCAAAATACTAAACCAGGAAAAAAACTGAATTACAAGATCCTGTTGTCGTATCCCTAGCAACAGACACCGATAAGAATCACTTCGAGTAATTAGTCCCGAGGTGAGACGTCTCATTTCAATAATAAAAGTATTTTTTCGTATTTTTATTGGAATCAAGGCAAAAAAATTGACATTTAACGTGAGGGGTAAATCGGCAACTGTTCATGCTGATACTGAGGAGGACAATCAATTTTTTACCATTGCCCCAGCTTTACCGATACTGCCTGGTGCACCTGCTCCATTAAAATTGACGAAACGTACTTACAGCTCTTTGAAGTGAGTTTGTTTCATTTTACATTTCATTTCAATTGAATTATCACATGATTATTATTAATATAGAGGTATTTCTTTTTCTTTCTTTTTTTAAGACCGCGATTGGATGTTTCGATTTAACATTTTTTCGGTTGAAGTTCTGCAGGTTCAACGTTCGCCTTCGAAGATGCCGAGACCGGAGGGTGTGACGTCGTCGCACTGCAACAGGCTGGAGAGGGTAGATCAGTGGTGGCCTCCAGAACCCCCCAGGAGCGTGAGAAAAATCCAGACAGAATCTGTCTCGATCGTCGAGGTCTCACGACCTTCCCAGACATCTACGGCGAGCCAAAGCTACGTCTCATGTCCCTCCAGCACAATCTTCTTTCGCGAATCGAGGGTGACAACTTCATTCATCTAACAAAACTGGTCTTCCTGGATCTCTACGACAATCAGATCGAGAAAATCTGCGATCTCACCCCTTTGGAGAATCTTCGCGTTCTGCTGATCGGTAAAAATCGCATCAAGAAGATCGAGGGGTTGAAACCCCTCACGAAACTGGAAGTTCTGGATCTCCATGGGAATCAGATTGTCCAGGTGTCTGGGCTGGAGGACCTCTCGTCATTGAAAGTCCTCAATCTGGCTGGAAACAATGTGAAGATCATTGGCTTCAACGATTTTCATGGACTGTCTTCTTTGAAGGAACTCAACTTGAAGAGGAATAAGATAAAGAAACTTCTGGGCTTCGGTGAAACTCCACAGCTTCAAAAACTTTATCTCAGCAATAATGACATTCAGAAGATTGAGGATATGGGGTCTTTGGCGAAGTCTTTACAGATCCGGGAAGTTACGATCGATGGAAATCCTGTGACGTTGAGTGCGGATTGCGTTTCTTTTCTGGTGTCTTACTTGCCTAATCTTCAAGTATTGTCAACAATGCAGGTGAGACGTTTGTTAATAATAATAATAAAACATTGGATGAAAAATTAATTAATTTTTCGTATGCACTCTATGAAATTCTAGTTCTAATTTCTTCTGCTGTGGGGGAAAGAGAAGGGGGAGGGAAAGTTTTTTAATGAAGAATGTTCATACAATTTTTTGATGAGGACAGGTCAACGAACAAGTCCGAAGAGCTGCGATGGCCTGGCGCACCACAAAAGAGCAATCAAATTCAGCCTTTCTTGACCTGAGCACTCAAGTCTGCGTGAACGTACGTCGTGAAGAAGTGATTACCAATGCAAAAACCAACTGGGAGCTCCTCCGCTCACAGACAAAATGCTTCACCAGCAATTCCACCAAAATCAATGGGATAAAGAACGAGAAAATCCGAGGACTGAACCTCCAGAATTCGAGTAAATTTGACACAGTCAAACTGAAAAGCCTCGAAGAAGCTAAAAGTCAAGGCTTCGGTTCCCTGACTTCCATCAACGAAAAGGTCGAAGCCAAGAAGATTCAATTCAAAAAACGCAGCAGTTCCTCCGACGGACTCTTCAGATTAGACAACATTAACAAAGTCAATGCTCTCGATTTCAAACTCCCCCCAATTCTAGTTCCCATAATCAATAATCTCACTAACAGCAAAATCAGTGATGGCCTGAGGAACCCGAAGAGCCTCATGATGGACAGCATGGACATGACCACTGATTCTGAGCTCGAAAGCTCTGAAAGTCATGAGAGCCTCAAAACTGGACTCAGAAGTCATTTACTAAAGTGTTCGAGAGCTGTCTCTGTCGATGGAGACAAGTCCCATGTCTACAATTACTGCAACGGTCATTTTAGTGTCAAGAGGGATGACGGAGGAAAGGGCAATATGAAGATCTTTCGAGCGCAGGTCAAGGCCAATTCCACTGGGGGATTTTGCCATAAAGATTCCAAGGGATTTTACAGTCTTTTGGAGGATGGGAGGGAAGCTGGGGACTTGTTTAGCTTGAGCCATGCAAAGACCAGCAGTTTGGACAGCAATAAGTCTGCGATGGAGAGCAGCAGTAGCTCCACCACCAAAGCTGATGATCTTGAAGACTCGGAGGATGACAGGGGCCGGGTCAAGAGTGCTGGGATCAAGAAGATGGTGCATTATAAGAATAATAGGGCTGCCACTGCTAGGGCTAAACACAGGGCCGTGGCAGTCGCTACACCACCACCAGTAATTAACACTCCTAAGGAGAAAGAACAGGGTACTGACAAATTCCTGAATAATTCATCGAACTTCACATTATGCACATTATGTTCTGCAAAATTCGGTCACAAATAGTTATAAATAATTAAATAATTTCATAGTTCTGGAATCTAATCTAATCTCGTGCATTATTTGATTGGTTTAATTTTTTCATGAACAGATCATTTAATTTTTTTTGAAATTGGAATTTTTAATTATTTATAGGTGGTGATTATTTGGTGGAAATTGTTGGACGTTGTTTAAATGTGTATGGGCAGGGGGCCTTACGATTCATCGACCGACCCTGGGACGCGACAAAAGCCAATGATGTCAATGTAGTTAAATTCAATTACGTGCAGTTCAATGGAATTGCTACAGTATTAAACAAATTGAAGATTCGGTTTCCGAATGCTGAACATTTTATATTCAAAGAGACTAATATCAGTCATTTGGGGCAGTTGAATGCTCTCGCTGAGGTCCAAGGATTGACTGGCATTCAGATCGAGGCTGAGGGGAATCCCATTATTTCTAAGGATTGGAGGGTTTATGCTATTTTCAGGTTGGCGCATTGGGGACTTAAAATTATTAATGGAAAAGAGGTAAATCATGATTATTAAATAAATAAATTAAAAATAATAAAACAATAAGAACTAAAAAATCGTAACTGAAACTAGAGTCTAAAAAACCGAATTTTTATGATTTTCCAGAAATTATTTTTAAAAAATGCTTCAAAAAACGAAATTTCAACAATAATAATTCAACTGAATAATGACCTATAATAATGTCAAATGCAGATTTCGTCAAAATTTTTGTTTTTTGAAGTTTTTTCTTTTTTATGCTGTGAGATGAGGGAATGATTCTTTTCTTTAGATAACAGAGGGTGATATTGAATCAGCAAATGAAGAGTATTCTGGACTGACTGACATTGTGATGTGGTCACTGCCAGAGTCGCTGTTGCAGCCTTTACTGCAGAGATTACACTTGGAAAAAGCCCAGAGACAAAATGGGGAACAAATCACTGCCAAACAGTTTTTATTCAGCAGTGATCCTGCATTGAGAAATGTCGTAGCTAAAGAGGCATTGCAATGGCGTCGTGGCAATGTAACACAGGTAAAAATAGACATAAACATTAATTATTCCATTATTATTATCTCTGTGCAGCACTTCTGCAGGAATTTACTCAATTGGTTGAAAAAAAAAATATTTTGAAGAACTCAATTGTTAATCAGTCACTTATTGCAATCAGTATGTCGAGAGTTAATTGAAAATAATGGCAATTTTAATTGCAGGAGGATCTTATTGCTCGTCACAAAGGCAAAGTCCATCTATCGAATTTAATAGACCAGACAATCGATGCTATCCAAAAATTACAAATACTCGAACGCGAATGGCCAAACGTCCTCAACGAATTAATTCGAACGACATTGAATGATTATTCCCAGATGAATTTGTACATGAAACGTTGTAGTAAAATACTCGAAGGTGATAAATAGATCCAATGAATTTTGTGATTAAGTGAATGAAGAAAACACTTTCTGCCAAAAACAATTGGAATACATTATCAGTAATACAGAGAAAATATTCTCAACTGATTCACTTAATCACAAAATAATCATGAATTATTGATTAACTTAGGTACAAAGGAACGATGAAAACTCCAAGTTACTGTTTTTACACTGAATATGTTTATCACTGTTACTGATAGTTCATTTGATAAAAAAGTAAAGTTTAACTTTGAAGAACGGAGAAGAGAGTTTAATATTAAATACAATGCATGACTGGCACGCTGTATTAGCGGTAATGGAAGTATTCACACTGTAAAAGAATTTTTTATAAACTAAAGAAAAGAGAAAGTTTAACATTAAACGAAGGAATTCATTAATTTAGTCATTTCTTTTCCCAATTTCTATATCTATAATAAAAAAATTACTACTGGAATATACCAGTATTTTAGTTATTATAAAAATTTATTTACATTTTTATTCGTGAAATATTTATTTATAAAACTTTAATATTCAGTTTATCTGTATTTTTTAATATCAAACCCCAATTTTTCGCGGTTTAAATTTATTTAGTGCCAATTATTGACTCGACGCTGAAAGAAATCCTCGGTTTTTTGATGTTATGGTCGGAATGAGCGTTTGACGGATCACTGAAATTATCAGGGGAGCTAAAAGCTGAACTATTTAATGACGCATTCGTCTCTGGAAAGTAATTGATCCAGGGTAATGCTGGATATGATGGGTAGAAATTATGAAGATCAACAGTAGCACTTGGACTGGTTTTTTCCTCACCCTCGACACATGATAGACCGAGGAGATGTCCATTTGGAATGACTAAAAAGAAAAATATGTTCCAACAGTGAGACGGGTTTATTTTGACAGCACGAAAGGAGGTGTAACTTATATATTTACATTATTTCGAGTGAGGGAATACGAAAGGTGGGTACAACTGTAAATGAAACCCTCGTAAAGTCTATATTTGAGTCGCATTTGTGGATCTTCACACTAACAACATTTTAGTATCTACAACCGTTGTTGTTTACATTCCACAGTCAATGATTATCCACAATTCAATTTGATTGAATATCCTGAGGGTTAAGAATAATTAATAATCTAGTTGTCTTCACATCCCCCAATTTAATTCCCCAAAAAACCTACAAAACAGTAAAAACTCTCATTTTCATTTTATGTTGTTCATTTTTAAATCGTAATTAATGATTTTGAAGTGGGAATTGACTCTTTTCGTTTTTTTTAAAATAAATTTTGTTGAGAAGTGGGAAACGGAGATAATTACATTTTTTCATATCCAGTTTTACAGCGAATATCTCGCAATCGAAGAAGGATAGCGATATTTTTGATTGAACATTGTTTTTAGAAAAAGGTAAGCGCTACAAAAAATGTAATTACAAAAATATCAATATTTTGCTTCAATCCCGAGATATTTCGGAAAAACGTTCGTTCATTTTTTGATAACGCAGGATTTCCACGTGAAATTCATAAATAAATAATAAAAATAATAATTAATTTTCATAATATTAAATTATGAAGAATTAAAATGAGAAAACTCACGAGGGGTAGTCAGATGGGGTGTCCCAAGACTCTGAAACTTCTGAGTGACACTAATCCTGGTTTGCGTCACCTGTAGCTGATGATGTCTCTGAAAGTTCCTCAATCTCTTCTGATAGGCAGCAGAATTATCCCGGGCACTCGAAACCGCTGACCGCTGATAATTCTCCTCGTGCCCCAGAGGATCACTTCCTACGGCTTGCGCCTGTTGCTGTCGCCTCAGGGCGACCTGAGCTGCCATCACCCTCTGTCTCTCCACAACAAGAAGACAGCATGCACAACGACAATCCTTCCATGCACACGATCTCTTATGCCCCTTCAAACCCGAAATAATCCCATGATTTCTGCATCTCGCGCATTTAGGACTTCGTAATCGCTGCTCCGTACCGCGTGACATGGAATAATTTTCGCGGTCCATTGAAATTTTTTAAAACAAACTATTTAAAAAATTGTCTTGCATGGGTGTTGATTGTACGCGTGGGTGGAGGTAGTTGCAATGTTGGAAGTTGGAAAAGTTACGAGTTTGAAGTTAATCTGAACTGATGAGAATCATTCGAGACATTGTTTCCTTAGGGAATAGTCAATCCCCACCTCCTTGGGAGATGTGAGTATTTTTAGGATTAAAACGTTACCATTGGCTTGGGTTATTCAATTAGCCACGCCAGTTTTCAAGGCTCAACCAATCGAGGCTGATCATCTCATTAAGGATTTTAGAGTACAAACCCCTTTACATGAGTGAAAACAATTGATTGGACATCAATTGATATCCCTCGAATAATTATTAATTATTCATCAATTCATGGAAATAAATTCAGATCCTAGAATGTGATGATTTAAATGGATCTGAAGAATACTTCATAATTAAAATTGCTTACAAGAGAATTATTGTTGTTTATATGTGTGAAAAATATTTTCGTATTTCATCGTTTAATTATTTATTTCAAAAAGGATTAATTGCAACATTCAGAATTTAATCCTCTGGGAAAATTCAATAATTAATTCAGTTCTTGTCGGTCATATTTTTAATTTTAAAGACCACGTGAATGAATAATAATCAAGAGACCGGATAAATAGAAATGATAAAAATAGGATAAATAAAGTATAAATTAATAGGTAGAAATGAAAATGAGTAAAATGTAATGAGTTATCTTGGGTTATTGATATTCTGCGGTTATAATTTGAAGCAAAAATTTAATAATAGCCCTAGCTACGGGCTTTTAGGTAAGAACCGATGTAACATCACTTTGGTGACGCTTCACCAAGATTCAGAGGATGGTGAATGGCCTGTCAGCATATTTGCTGTGACACCTACACGAGCTGACGAAGATGTCAACAGAACTGAAGAAATTGAAAAATAACGTGAAGAAAAAATCTCACGTTCTCTAAAACTGACACTTCTCCATTCCGAGCTCATTAGGAAGGAATTCCTCGCATATTTTTCATTGATATTATTAAACCCTGACCGCCCCGGTACTTTTAACTCTTCCACGAGGGAAGAACCCAAAAATGACGGGTACTAATGAATTCCAAAAAATTTCCCATTTTTTTTTCACTCACTACCTTCGATTATCAACACATTTCCCTCGTAAATATTCTCGTAAATATTTTCGTCAATATTCCTCTGCATTTTTCTTTACGGAATCATTGCTGATACGTAATAATTCCAGAAGATTAAACAAAATCTTGAGTAAAAAAATGATAAAGCAATGAGATTTCCAGGAGAATGATTGACTAAGCAAAACGATTACCTTTCTCAAGTAAATTTGAGGGAATGCATCAGATTTCGAATTTGAATTGCGTATAATTGCAAACGAAATAACGAAATAAAATATTATAACCACCCACGAGTGCGGAAGGAGTCAGAGTGACGTGTACAAATGTACCCATCAAGTAAAAAGGGGAAAAAGTTGTGAAAATAAAAACGAACTCAGACTCGGAAGAGCGAAAAAAATAGGGGTAAAAAATGGAGAGTGCAGTATGAGAGGCGGTACATTAAAGAAGAAGAATAACAATGAAAGCTCCAAGGGTTATCGAGGGAGGAGGATGTCCGGAGTGGTATACGTTACAAAAACAATCTTTAAACTAATATTAACTGTGTGTTGGCAACATGTAAGACGATCGTATTAACGAGCTCTTAAAAGTCGGATCACAGAGGAGCTGGACCATGTGGTCACAGCTGTTGGACTACCAAAATGTATGTGGATCGCTTTTGCGTAACTATTTTATTGTTTTTTTAATCAACAATCGAAAAGAAAGCTCAACATCTCCAGGGAGCATAAACCAGAAATTTTTGAGGAATTGTTCAACAATTTTATCAATTTTCTAATACAAAAATTAAATTTAATTAATCTTAATTAATGCACTATTTAATTGATGAATTTGTTTAAAACATTTGAAATGTTAAAGTCATTCAAGAATTTTCTCGACTTCATTCAAACAATATTAATGAATAATATCCCGCGACGTACTTTACACAAGAAAATTTATTACGTTGTGAATTTATTTCGTCTTTTTGTCATCCATTTTTCTCGTCATTATTCATTTGTTGTTTTATTGGTTCTAATTATTCAGCCCGCCAAGTTTATTTCTCGCAATTTTCAGTATGATCTGTTTAATTTGAGCATGGAAACGTCAAATTTCGAATTACGTAACCTTTGTAATGGATTCAAATAGCAATAAATTTCACTAATTGAGATGCATCATTGCAATTCGCACATTGGATGGTACATCGGTAAATTTGTTATTGGATTCGTAGGAATTTTACTGGTGTATTCTGGTTTTTTTCAAGAAAAGTGAGTGAAAATGACAAATCCCCAAGTAGAGTAGTTGAACTAGACGAAAATAATAAAATACTTCTGATAACCTGATAAATTTTCACCGCAAAATATGTCAGTACTTTATCATTAATCGTTAATTTTTCCTCCTTTGATAATTAGGAACATCACGTGCTTGTGCAAAGCAGCAGCAAGGCAATGGAAAAGAAAGGGTGACCGAGAGTGAGTTGATGAAGCCATACGTCAACGAATTATCTTCCAAAATTCATCAAAAATAAATTTCAAATAATTTCAAAAACTTTCAAGATCACACTGACATTTTTGGAAGAATTCTCGTGGACGTATGGCTCGATGTGAGTCACTAAAATCAAATTTTTAATACGTAGAACTGAAAATTATTCACCAGACATTCGCCACTGCGGTGCGGCTGCAAAAAAGGGTGAGTTATTACTTCTCGTACTGATTTTAAATAATTGTACGAATTATTAAGTACCTGATGATTTTTTTACTGCGATAAAATTCAGTGGAATGCTCAAACTGCCCTGCGGCTGTGAAAC